GTGCAGCGAAAATCGGCGAAAAACCTAACCTAACCATATGAATCCGCTAGGACCCCTACAGAGGCAAGCTCTGATTGGGGAATAATCCGGCAAAATCGTCCCCAGACTATGTTTGACCACTTTTGAACATTCCTCCTGTAATAGAACATGCTCGACTTAAGGGTACAGGCTTCATATGGGCGATTCCTGAAACCCTGAACCCAAAGACGTGTCAATCTCTTGGGGACATATGTTCTACTTCCGCCGCCTTCCGCCGAGCTTCCGCCGAGCTTCCGCCGTCTTCCGCCGGCGGAGGCAGCCTCGCTTTACTTCCGCCAGCCTTCCGCCGCCCTTCCGCCGCCTTCCGCCGAGGAAGCGATGCCAGCTCCTCCTCTCCTCGAAGGCCTCTGTTTCTGGAACGCCTCACATGCTTTCCCCTGCTTCCTGACCCCCCCCCCTCTGGAAATGAAGGGCAAAATGGGGCCTCATGGTTGGGTCGGAATGGCCTGGTGGGCGGTGACAACTGGCGGGTCGAGTGGGCGCACACCAGCGGTCGGACCGGGGCGGGCGGGTCGGGCGGGGCAGCACAGTCGACCCGTAGCATGCGGACGCGCATGCTACGATGCAAGGGCCTTAGAAGGCCGTTTCGAAGTACAGTCGACAGTCGACCCAGTCGAAGACATCGAAGTACAGTCGAAGTACAGTTTAGAAGGCATCTTAGACGCGCATGCGAACAGTCGACAGTACAGTCGACCCAGTCGACCCGATGCAAGGGCCCTGGAGGGCCGTCTCGAAGCTTCTCGAGCGGGGCGCGACCAGAGAAAGCGGCCGAGGATGCACCGAGGGAGGCCAGGATGCAGGGGTATTCCTGGGAAGCGTGCCCGTCCTTCCCATGCGGGCCGACTGCAAAGCGGGCGGCGGGATTCCGAGCAGACGAGCGGGCGGACCCTACCGGGCGGAAGGACCGCGGCGGGCGGGTCGGGCGGGCGGGCCCTCACAGGCGAGGCGGGTCGTGCGGGCGAACCCTTGAATTTAACGTCGTACAGTGCGAGCGGGCATCACGTAGGAGCACGACTCCGGCGTAAACTGCGAGGGCGTCTCGCGCGAGAGCGCGACTCCTGGACGTCGAGAGCGCGGCGCCGGAGTGAATCCCAGCAGCCCCCTAGGCGCAGGTGGTCTAACGAAAAACCCTCGCTCCTTGGGGGAAAGATACCCCCCACACCGCTGAGGTTTTGGGGGGGTCGCGAGCCGTCAGAGCGCCCAAGATGGCTCCCAGAGGGCCCCCGATGCTTCAAGATAGCGTCCAAGACTCCAAGATACCCCACGATGGCTCAGAGCCCCCAAGATGGCTCAAGACATGCCTCCAAGAGGCCCCTAAAGGATCACAAGACGGCTACAAGTGCGCTCGGAGCCTCCTCAGGACTTCCCCGAGCGGCCACAAAAACCTGCAAAACATAGTGTTAGCCTTATCGCCTTTTCACTGCCGATGAGGTTTTGAAGCCTCAAGATGGCCCCAAGATGGCCCGAGAGAGCCCCAAAAGGGGCCAAAGAGGCCCCAAAGGCGGCCCTAAAACCGCCCAAGAGGCGATTCGGATGGTCCCAAAGAGGGGGGGGGGGGCGGGGGAATTCGGGGGCCCCCCCTCGTTTGATCGACGACCTTCAAGATGGACCCAAGAGGCCCGCCAAGGCTCTCAAGAGACACCCAAGAGAGCTCCGAGAGAGCCCCGAGACCTCCCAAAATCGCTCCAAGAGAACCCCAACAGGGCCGCGAGAGAGCCCCAAGAGGTCCCTAAAAGGCCCTTCAGAAGACCCCAAGACGTCTGCCAGTCGTCCTCCTCCTCTTCCTCCTCTTCCTCCTCTTCCTCCTCATCCGCGTCCACATCCTCCAAGCCCTTGTCTTCCTCCTTGTCCTTTCACCTCCTCGTCATTCAACCTCGTCCTCCTCCTCCTCGTCCTCCCCCTCGTCATCCTCCTCGTCGTCCTCGTCCTCCTCCTCCACGTGCTCGTCCTCATCCCGGGTCTGACCAGGCTGATCCAAAACGCATTTCACTGCATGCTTCTAAGTTGTCCTGGTCAAAACAACTCACCTGGACAATGTTTCTGGATGGGCAGATCGGGACACGCGAAACGTGAAGACTTGTAAGAAGTCGCAAGCGAAAACGCGATATTAAGTAGATCACAACAAGAAGTCGCGGGCGCAAGCGCGATCCCTGACTATATTGCGAAGAAGTATCAAGCAGGAGCCGTTGTTGCTGTAGCCGGGGGGGCGACAACACAGCTTGCGCAGGAAGTGAAAGAAGTCGCAGGCGAAAGCGCGATGCTCAAGCAATTTAAGAGGGCGGGCGCAAGCGCGATCCCTGAAGCAAATGCAAAGAACTATATAGTGAGAACCGTTGTTGCTGTAGACCGGGGCCCAACAACGCAGTCTGAGCAGGAAGCCTTCCCCTGACAAGAAAACAGGCTGCGCGCCTCTTGGAGGGCACTTACATCGAAAAAAGACACTGGGCATGGGTGTGTTGGGGGGTAACGACAATTGTTCGTC